TTTTCCTGGTCTTTTGCTTGAAAACGTTTCGCTTCTCATCCAAGAAGCTTCTTCAGTTCATTTCAGAAGAAGCTTTTTGGACGAAATTGGAGAAATTGAAATGCAGTGTAGAGAAAAGTAAAGTCTTACACTTAGGCAAGAAAGACCAAAGGTACACATACAGACTGGATGAAACCAGTCTTAATAGCAGTAACTTTGAGAGGGATCTTGGAGTCTTAGTGGACAATAAATTACATATGACCCAGCAGTGTGCAGCCGCAGCCAAAAAAGCCAATGCAATCTTAAGTTGCATTAACGGAAGGGATACAATCAAGATCAAGGGAGATCCTAATACTACTCTGTAAAGCCTTAGTAAGACGACACCTAGAGTCCTACATCTAGTTTTGGTCCCCACACTATGAAAAAGATGTAGCAACTCTAGAAAGAGTGCAGAGAAGAGCAATGATGAGGGGACTGGAGGCTAAAACATATGAAGAACGGTTGCAGGAATTGGGCATGGCTAGTCTAGTGAAGAGAAGGACCAGGGGAGACAGGAGAGCATCTTCCAATATTTCAGGGGCTGCCACTGAGAGGAGGGGGTCAAGCTATTTTCCAAAGTACCCGAAGGCCACACAAGGAATAATGGATAGAAACTGAACCAGTAGAGATTCAACCTGGAAACGAGGAGAAATTTTCTGACAGTGAGAGCAATCAACCAGTGGAACAAAGTTGCCTTCAGAAGTTGTGGGAGTGTCATCCCTGGAAGCTTTCAAGAAGAGACTGGACTGCCATCTGTCAGAAATGCTGTAGGGTCTCCTGCTTGGGCAGGGAGTTGGGCTAGATGACTCACAACCGAAAGCCCTATCAATTGTGCAGCCGACCGGCAACAGGGAGCCGCAGCAGAGGGATGAAAGAGCCACATGCAGCTCCAGAACTGCGGGTTGCTGACCCCTGCTCTAGATTTTGGGGAGAGGAGAAGATTCTTGATGAGCAACTCCTGCCGGCTCAAATTAACCCAATGGCAAACTTGGAAATTCTTTGCAATCGATGCTCTGAATTCAGTAAACAGGTGTAGAACGACATAGCCACTTCATCTCATTGTCATTTAAAAAAAAAAAAAAAAGCCTGATTGCATCATGAGAACCTCTGAGGTTCGTTGCGCAAGTCTGGGGCGCACAAATGTGAAAGGTACGTTCCTCCAGGTAAGGAGCCTTCGCCAAGTTTAATTAAAACTGCCTTGCTCGTTGGGAGCACAGAATGTGTCTCAGCTTGGGATTGCTGCAACCTGGAATTCCTGGCAGCGTGGTAGCACATCTATCTTTCTATATCCTTTTTGGCTCAATCCAAAAGGTTTTTAAATGCTGGCACAGCCCAGGCAGCAGAGTTCCATGCTCCACCCCAGCTCTGGGATCGGATCCAAGGAAGGCACCGCAAGGATGCAGAGAATGTGTGCGCGGCTTTCAAAATGGAGGCTCGCCACCACCGTCGACACAAACAGAGGCAGAACGAAGGAGGCAGCCAGACCCCTGGGCTTGGGTGTGGCTGTAAGAGGGGGGGGGGGGAGAAGGAAATGAAGTCATTGTTTCCTGAATTTTATTGGGAAATGTTCAGGTGCTGAAGGATGCTCCAGAAGAACGAGGCATGGGAAATTCTCTTGGAAAGTGGTTCAAAATAAAACCAGTGGAGGAGAGAGAGAGAAAGAAATCTCTTAAAAGATATCTTTCTCCTGAAAATTAGATTTTGGAAAAGACAGAAGGAGTTGCGAGCTTAAGCTGGATCGGTGTTTCTCATACATGGCTACGGGAAGATACACGTGGATTCCAAACTGGGAGTTGAAATCCATTCATGCTGAAGGGAACTGAAGTTCACTCATTCTGGCTGGGAATTTCTGGGAGTTGAAATGATCCATGTCGAAAGTACTGGAAGTGGTAACTGGAGAATCCTGGGAGTTGAAGTTCAGCCATGATGATGGGAATTCTGGGAGGTGAAGTCCACCTATGATGACTAGGGAATTCTGGGAAGTGAAGTCCACCCATATTGAAGGGAGTTAAAGTCCATCCATGTTGAAGGGACTGGAAGTGATGACTAGAGAATTCTGGAGGTGAAGTCCACCTGTGATGACGGGAATTCTGGGAGGTGAAGTCCACCCATATTAAAGGGACTGGAAGTGATGACTAGGGAATTGTGGGAGTTGAAGTCCACCCATGTTGAAGGGACTGGAAGTAATGAATAGAGAATTCTTGGAGTTGAAGTTCACCCGTGATGATGGGAATTCTGGGAGTTGAAGTCCACCCATCTTGAAGGGAGTTGAAGTCCACCCATGCTGGCTGGAGAAATCTGGGAGTTGAAGTCCACATATCTTACAGCGGCCACGTTTTGAGAAACGCTGCTTGTATCAGCTCAACAGGGAATGGTGTCCACCCAGATTGGAAGCTCTCTGCCCATTTCCTAAGCCCTCCAACCAAATTCCAAGCATTGCTGATGTCTTTCTCCTCGCCAAGCGCCTCTGAAAGGCAGCTTCCCCTCTTCCCTTCTGCAAAACAAAACTAAGCAGCCAACATACTGCTAGAGAATGACAGAGAGAGAGAGAGAGACAGAGAGAGAGAGAGACAG